ACACACACACACACTCTCTCTCTCTCTCTCTCTCTCTCTCTCTCTCTCTCTCTCTCTCTCTCTCTCTTGCTCTTTCTCTCTCTCTCTCTCTCTCTCTCTATCTCTCTATCTCTCTATCTATCTATCTATCTCTCTCTCTCTCTGCTGTGTTCTCATAACTGTAACTACTGGATATGTCCGGTGGAAATGACTAACGTTACCTGTTGTAGGCACGACATTGAATGGGCCGGTGTTGAAATACGTCTTCAACCCTTTTAACCTCAAGATGTGCTCAGGTTAACAATGATTTAACAGCTAATTTACAGTTTTAACGATGTTAGTGAGGCATGTTGCACACTTGATGGATAGCTGGCATGGGACGTTCTTTATGCAGGCAGTGCTGCAGCAGGGTGTGACCTATTTTAGCTAACGTTAGTCAGCTAACCAGCATTCATCTGCCGTTAACCAGACGAGTCTAATATTCTCTCGTTTGATGTCTAACGTTAAGTGATCAAAGACACGTCTGTTAGCTCGTTTTCAGCACTTGTAGGGAAAAATGGCGTTTTCTAGCGTAGTGTGCAGCCCTTCAGGCTTTCATTTAGGCTGATTAAGATTATTAAAGTGTTTTATTCACTATTAAAGCGTTACTAAATGCAAGGTAGTCGGTTTTAATAACTGGTGAAAAGTACTGGTTTGGTTTAAATGGTGGTTTATAATGGTGTCGGGGGATTTAAAAAAAAAAAAAAAACTCATTGATAAAGGCTATATAATATGAATAAGCTGAGGAAGATGGTTCACAGGTGCTTTAGTGGGAAGTCTGCTCGTGAGGAGTCAATGAAGTGACTGCAGATCTGTGACGCAGTTATTTTGGGCAGACGCCCGTTGAAATTAGGTTGAGTAATTGATACCAGGCGAGGAAGGATCGCGGATGTAGAACTTAATTTGTGTAGAATTTAGGGAGTGGCCCTGGCGTGATGAATGTCGAAATCCGTTCCTTTTTACTGAACCCTATGTCTCTGGCGGAGTGCCACACCGCCGGCAGCCGCAAAGCGGCTCAAACATTGCCTTTTATGGTAATAATGAGAGAATGCAGAGGGACTTCCTTTTGTCTGGCATATCTGAGGCGCGCATTGTCACTAGCACCCACTAGCGGTCAGACTGTAGATTGCAGCACGAAACAGGAAGTTGACTCCACATGGTCACATGCTCACTGAGGTTGTGTTCCTTGACCGCTGTGCACTTCTAAACCGGTTTTCTCATTCACTTACAGTTTAGCCATGGATGATGAAATTGCTGCACTGGTTGTTGACAACGGATCTGGTATGTGCAAAGCTGGATTCGCTGGAGATGATGCTCCCCGTGCTGTCTTCCCATCCATTGTGGGTCGCCCCAGACATCAGGTGAGAAATGGGATTAATTTCAGGCTGCCCAATAATGAGAATTATTTTTACGTTCTAGTTTCTTAATGTTGCTCTAAATTTAACATTATTTTCTGTCTTTACAGGGTGTCATGGTTGGTATGGGACAGAAGGACAGCTACGTTGGTGATGAGGCTCAGAGCAAGAGAGGTATCCTTACCCTGAAGTACCCCATCGAGCACGGTATTGTCACCAACTGGGATGATATGGAGAAGATCTGGCATCACACCTTCTACAACGAGCTGCGTGTTGCCCCAGAGGAGCACCCCGTCCTGCTCACAGAGGCCCCCCTGAACCCCAAGGCCAACAGGGAAAAGATGACACAGGTTGGTTTTTGGCTAGAAAATGGCGCTTGGAAGTCTCTAGTCTGTCCTGTTACCTCATTTTAAGTTCTCCTGTTCATTCACTCACTTTCTCCAGGCTTTGTGTCCTCTGAGCTCCTGAGTTTCTCTTTTGCTGGAAGCAGCAGGTTATATACTTTGCCTGCCTGTTTTGCGGTTTTCTGCCACACTCTTATTCTCTCTGCACTTTTGTTTATTTACTCTGGATTTCCAACTAAACTCTGCATGGATGTGTGGATGGTGTGCTGTAATTGTTTTTAGCATCAAGCTAACTTCTCAAACTCTCTCTCTCCAGATCATGTTCGAGACCTTCAACACCCCTGCCATGTACGTTGCCATCCAGGCTGTGCTGTCCCTATATGCCTCTGGTCGTACCACTGGTATCGTGATGGACTCTGGTGATGGTGTCACCCACACTGTGCCCATCTATGAGGGTTACGCCCTGCCCCATGCCATCCTCCGTCTGGACTTGGCTGGCCGTGACCTGACTGACTACCTCATGAAGATCCTTACCGAGAGAGGCTACAGCTTCACCACAACAGCCGAGAGGGAAATTGTCCGTGACATCAAGGAGAAGCTCTGCTATGTGGCTCTTGACTTTGAGCAGGAGATGGGCACCGCTGCTTCCTCCTCCTCCCTGGAGAAGAGCTATGAGCTGCCTGACGGACAGGTCATCACCATTGGCAATGAGAGGTTCAGGTGCCCAGAGGCCCTGTTCCAGCCATCCTTCTTGGGTAGGTATCCTGACAAACACTACCTCGTCTGTGTATGTACTTCTAGATTTGAGTTGTAGAACATTGAGGAACTTGGGTTAACTATTTGTCTTCCTTTTGCAGGTATGGAGTCTTGCGGTATCCATGAGACCACCTTCAACTCCATCATGAAGTGTGACGTTGACATCCGTAAGGACCTGTATGCCAACACTGTATTGTCTGGTGGTACCACCATGTACCCTGGCATTGCTGACAGGATGCAGAAAGAGATCACATCCCTGGCCCCCAGCACAATGAAAATCAAGGTGAGCTAGGCTCTGAGTTATGACTTGCCTCACATAAGTTGATAACTGAACATTTGTGGCAGCTCTGCATCTTTCTAATCGTTCATCTCTCTACAGATCATTGCCCCACCTGAGCGTAAATACTCTGTCTGGATCGGAGGTTCCATCCTGGCCTCCCTGTCCACCTTCCAGCAGATGTGGATTAGCAAGCAGGAGTACGATGAGTCTGGACCATCCATTGTCCACCGCAAATGCTTCTAAACGGACTGTTACCACTTCACGCCGACTCGAACTGCGCAGAGAAAAACTTCAAATGACAACATTGGCATGGCTTTTGTTATTTTTGGCGCTTGACTCAGGATCTAAAAACTGGAACGGTGACAGCAATGGTTTTTGGCAAATAAGCATCCCCGAAGTTCTACAATGCATCTGAGGACTCAATGTGGTTTTTCTTTGTTTGTTTTTTTTGTTTTTTTTGTCATTCCAAATGTTTGTTAAATGCATTGTTCTGAAACTTATTTGCCTCTATGAAGGCTGCCCAGTAATTGGGAGCATACTTAACATTGTAGTATTGTATGTAAATTATGTAACAAAACAATGTCTGGGTTTTTGTTCTTTCAGCCTTAAATTTTTTTTTTTTTTGTTCCAAAAAAAAAAACGAAGCTTTACTTTTTTTTTTTTTTGTTCCAAAAAAAAAAACGAAGCTTTACCATTCAAGATGTAAAGGTTTCCATTCCCCCTGGGCATATTGTAAAAGCTGTGTGGAACGTGGTGGTGCCAGACATTTGGTGGGGCCAACCTGTACACTGACTAATTCCAATAAAAGTGCACATGTGTAAGACATCCTACTCTGTGATTTCCTGTTTGTGCTGAATGAACTTACTCTAAAGTCTTAGTGGACTCTTTAAAAGTAGTCTTCCCTTAAAGTTTTGCTCAATTAGATGTTAAATTGGAAAACACTTTAGTGACATGGACACTGGTTATCTTGACCTGTTAAATGTAGGATTAGCTGGATGTTCTTGCTGGCTTTAACAAATCAGTAGTTTTGAAACTTCATTCTCAGAATGGCTTATGCAAAATAACTTGCTCTAAAATGACTTGAGAGTATCAGACTAAAGTAGCAACATAAATGCGTTTACCCAACTGCACATTATCTGTAATGCATTTCCACATCATTACAAGTGGTTTTCAAAACTAAATGTTCTCAGAAATTCTCAGCTCTCATTAAATTTCCATGGGATAAAATTATAGCAAGGCTTTGTGAGGACACCATTTAAAACGCTTTAGAGGTGTCTGCCACCATGGTTGACATATAACTGCTTCTGCATATAAACACTAAAAAAAAAATTTAATTAAAAATGATTGCCAAACATGACTTTGGGGCATTTAAAGTACATTGGAGAATAATCAAGCTCTAATTAAAAGTTTTTATAGCTAACTGACCCAAGGGGCTAACAAGTCACTTGTAACTTCATTCCTATCTGAACTATTTAATATTAAACCGTGTCTCATGGTATTCGGGAACACTCGTGAATGCATAATTCTTTTATATTGAAGTCTGAACACATCTTTCTGAGAGAGCATTCTTTATGCCACGGTCTGATGGTGCTGATTTTTAGTTTGTGCTTCACATAACGGTACAGCAGATGGCGCTACACTCACAGCAAACTAATTTCTTGTTGCCTTTAAGAAAACGGCCTCTAATCTAAGAGACCAATGGTAACTCAAGGTGCAAGAGAATCAGTGTTTTCTCTTGGGCAGAATCCAAATTTGTTTTAAATATTTTTAGTAAAATATGAAATAGAAAAACAAAACGTGGCACATACCTAATTTGTGCAGACAATACTCTAACTGGCTGCTGTTTTTAGGTTGAATCTGGTGCTCGACCTTCGGTTATTGATGCAGTAGATACTTATAAATATGGGTGGCCTAGTTGCATATGATTTACTGCAAGCTGCTCCTCGTCTGACAGCACTTGATGAAAAATAATCAAGAGATTTTCCTGCTGTGTACATCTGTGCGCGCGTACAGCATAATACAGATTGTGCTTTATTAATAGCCGAGGTAACTTTCGGTGTACTGAATTACACCAAGCAAAATCAATATTCATTATTTATCTAACCTACAAACAATATTGTCTTTTTAGATGTAATTTAGCTGTATCTTTTATTACCACTGATGTTTTTCTTTTTGTAAAGCTTGCCTTAAAGGGGTCATATGATGTTGCTAAAAAGAACATTATTTTGTGTATTTGGTGTAATGAAATGTGTTTATGAGGTTTAAGGTTAAAAAAACATTATTTTCCACATACTGTACATTATTGTTTCTCTTCTATGCCCCGCCTTTCTGAAACGATTTTTTCAAAGCTCATCGGTCTGAAAAGCGAGGTGTGCTCTGATTGGCCAGAGGAAAAACTGAAATCGCATCATATGACCCCTTTAAATATTTTATTCATTAAGCAGCAAACATAAATGATTTACAAATGCATGAACAAATACAAACCTTGTGAATTTCATAATCAGCCGAGTTCATCTGAATTTGCTTTCTACCCCCAACACAAGCACACAATGTCATTCTTCCCTTCAACTTAGCCTCCCACGTACATTCATGCATCCCACGGGAACTTGTGCCTCTCAGCAAACGCCCGCGTGCGTCGACTTGATTGTGGTGCGGTATGGTCACGCAGGAACGCAGGCCACGCACGAATGTTCCCCTCCATTCATGATGAAATAATTACACAGAGGAACAAGCCACTAATAAGTGAGTAGTGGGCGACAGAGACATTAGCATTCATAGCGCTATTTCTCATTGATTGCGCAATTATTCGAAAGACTCATTTAGTCCTGTCCCACAGACATGAGCATTTATGATTGATTGCTTAATGCAAAACAGACTCAAGGATGTTTTAATTTTGTTGTGATTTTGTAATGAACAGAAGCGAGGGGTGCTGCCGGAGGTGTTGTGCCCGTGATATGGACGAGCTCCATTGTGTTCGGGGCCCCTCTAGAGCTGTGGTCAAATGAGCACTTGAAGTCAGAACACTTTAGTGGTGCCTCGCAGTGTCCGACTGAGCGTGTAAGGAGGTTCTGCTCACAGCAGTCTCACCTCCAGGACAGAACCTCCACCAGTGTTATTTTAGTCTCATTGAGATACTATTATATGTTTTATTAATATTTTGAATGTTTTATTTTCATATTTTCTGATTTTTAACTTAAATGATTTAGTAAATGTTGTTGTGTTATGTCATTCTTATTTTTAAATGTCTATAGCCTATATTTGTATTTTTTGTATTAATTATTTTAAATATTTTGTTAATTATTGTTTCAGTTTGAGTTATTTTAGTACATCAACTTAAAATTGCCTTTGCAGCTGAAACAATGTTTTCAATAAATATCTTTTAACAATGAACCACCAATTAACTTATTTTCTTTGTAAAATTATTTTTTTTAATATTTTTAAATGAATCAAATCTGCTGTCACCTAACCCCGAAATAAACTGAAATATTTCATTAAAATCCAGTCTGTCCTATACAGTTTTTATTCATTATCATTTTAGCTTTAGTTATTAAAATTTAATGAAAATGAGAAATGGTGCCTTGGCAACTAATTGAAATAAAATACGTTTTTTTTTTTTTATTTCAGTTATTTTTAATTTTTTCATTTGTCATTTTTTTTTAACAAATGAATTTTGCTGTCACCTTACCCCAATATAAACTAAGCTATTTAATTAAAAGTCAGTCTGTCCTATATAGCTGTTTTTAATTATTATTTAGCTATTTTAGTACATCAACAAACTAAATAAAAAGAACAAATGTTGCCTTAACAACTAGCTGAAATAAGATTGAAATTAAGGTTTTTTTAATGGTTTTAGTTTTAGTTACCTATAATAACCTTGATTCTGCAGCTGAAACCTTGGGAGAGGAGAAATGATCTGATTTTCAACTACATAAATATCTGGGCTGCCAGATGTTCAGTATCTGTGATGATCTAGGCTTTTTCTAACTTCAAGAAATACATCTTTTCATCATATGGTGAAGTATAATTGATTGGTTACAGTGTCTTTGTAAAGTTTCATTTGAAAAGAACATCTTCCACTTTTAGTACAGTCCCATTTCCTGCAGAGCCCAAGGGACAGTTATAATGACAGGTAACTCATCATTAGGAGACAGTTCTGCAATATGTTACAATAATTATGAGAAGCCACTTAGATGCTTCTCCTTTTGCTCTTTATATTTTTATTTCAGTTCATATGAAATACAAATGACTGCTTGACACAAAAAGAAATTTGTATAATGAATGTATTCTCTTTCTAGAATTATATGTAAAAATATTTAATAAATCAAATCTGCTATGTCACCTAACCCCAAAATAAATTAAACTATGTCATTAAAAGCACGGAGAATGTGCCGCAATCAAGGAAATTGAGAAAGATGTTGTCTGAAGTAATGGATAATCCACAAGGGGAACCAGATGCATTCTGTCCTTTGAGCAGTTTAACTCTGGCCTCAGATAAAAAATATTGAGAAATTGAGACAAGCCATCTGGATGTCAACTCTTCAGCTATTCTAATAAATAATATCTAATCTTTCATCTTCTAGTCTTGGAATAATAAATCAAATCATGCAAATAAATAGATGCTTAATTCCAAGTTCAATTTGCTTGCAGATTAGAGGCTTTCTGAGCCGTTGAGGGATTCTGTACAATGTCCCTATTCACTGGATGTCACATTCATCATGGCTTTCATTACAGCTCTGCACAGGCTCGGTACACTACTGAATGATGTACAGGAAGTTGCTTTTCACTGTCATTCCACAAAGTCAAGGTGTTGTGATCATCGCTGCATTTCTTTGACTTGTACAACAAACACTGTCATGCCACTTAAAAAAAGGATCAAACCAAGGATGCTTTATTTATCCATGCGTTAAAGCAGGGGTTTTCAACCTTTTTTAGTTTCATTCACGGATCCGTTATACTGATGTACATTTGATATTTTCTTTACTGTTTACATTCACTTAAAACAACCGACTGTGCTTACAAGGATACTTGTCAAGACAGCCATTGGTATTCACCTGCTGTCTGAGAAGGCTATCTGTTTGTGCACTTCAGGTGTGTGCGCGGTGCGCATAGAAACGCTCTATCACAGTGCGTGAGTACCGCATTGAGATGTCTTGGGCTTAAATGGCTTAAAATTACTTTAATGTTTAAACTGACAAGATTTAAAACACGTGAGAATGAAAAACTTTCTCGAGGAAGCAGCACTGGCCTGATCGTTAAGATAGTTTTGGGGGGTGAAGGTGACAGATGGGGGGGCTGAAACCCACCTAAAAAGGGTTTAGAACCGCCCCTGGTATAGCGTGCATAATTATACTGAAACATAAATATATAACCAGTTTACCTGATTCAATGTGATGGCTGAGCCTGTTTCTGAGATAACAACATGCCAATCCGTGGTTGGATTTCGGACACGGCTAATCGTAAATCATTTTATACTGTCAATAAGCGTGACCAGGGTTGCCGGGTTTTCACAACAAAACCCGCCTAATTGCTACTCAAAACTAGCCCAAAACTACAAAACGCGGCAAGTGTTAAAGTTGCCCAATTCCGCGGGAAAAACGCGGATTTGGCAACACTGAGCGTGACTGATACTCGAGCCAACTCTGTTCTAACTGTCGACTAAACCAGTCAGAAGATAAATGGCTAAAGATTTGTTAACTCATATTCATAAATTCTCAAGGGAACGTCTCTGAATTAACTGATGCTCGCGCCCCCCTTGACAGGTGCTGGCGCCCCCCTGGTTGAAAACCCCTGCGTTCAAGAATAAAAAATATCCACCTAAAAAAAA